GAAGATCAAATGTGACAGTTCAGGCCCCACCTAGGTTGCGCGGGCCCCTCTTCTTCAATCAACAACATTGTTTTGCTTGATTTCTAGGGCTTCTTCTTCAGCAGCAGCATTGTTTTGCTTGATTTCTAGGGCTTCTTCTTCAGCAGCAGCATTGTGTTGCTTGATTTCTAGGGCTTCTTCCGCCGCGTTGGTTGATTTCTAGGGCGGCTGCTTCCACCGCAGCACAGTGTTTGGGCTCCTCCGCCGCCGCAGCCCTGTTCGAATCATCCGCCCCCTTCGGCTTCAAAATCTATTTCTCCATTAACTCTTTTTTTTTTTTTTTTTTTTTTTTTTTTTTTTTTTTTTTGAATTTTTAAATTCTAATCTCAATTTCCGATACTCACTTTACTCTCCGTAACTCTCAAAGTATTATTATTTTTAAATCTATGAAGTTGTTTTTTCGCAACCTTTTATATATACAAAATCCAATTTGATTGGTTTGACATTAATTACCACCAAACGCCCTTAGCTAATGTCAAATTATGGAAAGACCCCCCACCCCACCCCTTTTGTTTCTCCCTTTTGTTTGTATATAATTACAACTAAGCCCTCAACTATGAATGACCGCTCTTATGGTGTCAAATTCAACAATATCTTCTCCATTCCCTAGAATCTTCTAGATGCTGGCCGGCCGTATTTTAATTTTTTTCCCTTTCTTTTTCTTCTTTTAATTAATTAGGGTTTATTGCATTCAACACCCCTATGTTTTTTTAATTGTTGAAGAACCCCTCGTGTTATTATTTTTTCTCAAAGACCACAAATGTGTCACGGCCCGCTAGTTTTGGCCCAACCCCTTGCCAGTTTCCCTTGGGTTGGGAGGTTAAAAAGCCCAAGATTTAGCCCAAATAGGATTAGGCCCAAGTTGGCCAAAATGTATAGAGGAGTAGAGATTCTTGGAGGATTCTAGAAAATATTCTAGAACCCTCCCTTGTAGATATTTTTGTAGGAATTCTTTGGAGGGTTCTAGTGAACCACTCCCAACCGTTAGATCAAATAGATCTCCACCGTCCATTGAGGAGGTGGTCTAGTATAAATAGAGGTAGGGTCCTCATTTGTAACTATCCAAGAAATCCAACAAGCACCTAAGTAATAAAAGTACTTTCCTACAGTACAGATCAATTCAAAAGTAAGAATCTGAGGAGAAAAAATGTACATTAGCTCGAAAATTCTTTAAAAGTCGAAGCGAAATCAAGAAACGATCAAGAATTTGGTATGATTCGCAAACGGAAGAAGTTCAAGCGAATACATACATACATACCATCAACCAATCATAACCGCACAAATCGAAAACAATTAAGTCAAAACTAAAAAAAAACGAATAATCAATAAATTCGAAATTAGAAATTCCAATACAAATTGAATGTTCTGAAAAAAAAAAAAAATAATAAATAATCGAAACATATTACTTACCATTATAAAGAGAACCGCATCAAGGAAATCGAGATACCTTAACCCATCTTTTGAAGCAAGCCTTGTCAAGGGTTTGCTGCACCAATTCTCCCTCTTTCGTCAAATCCAAAATTGTATCTACACATGAACGTTCCGCTCAGATGCCCTGTACGTGCTGTACGTGCTCCTCCACCGAAATGGGCGCAAATGGAGATAGAATCTGGTAAAATTTGCGGCAAACCGTGGCCTCCCGGCCCTTTGCTTCCAAAGAAAGCCTCGCGAAGATCAAATGTGACAGTTCGAAGGGAAGGCCCCACCCAGGTTGCGCGGGCCCCTCTTCTTCAATCAGATTCATTTCTAGGGCTTCTTCTTTTGTGTTGCTTGATTTCTAGGGCTTCTTCCGCCGTGTTGGTTGATTTCTAGGGCGGCTGCTTCCACCGCAGCACAGTGTTTGGACTCCTCCGCCGCCGCAACCCTGTTCGAATCATCCGCCCCCTTCGGCTTCAAAATCAATTTCCCCATTAACTCTTTCTTTTTTTTTTTTTTTTTTTTTTTAATTTTTTAATTCTAATCTCGATTTCCGATACTCACTTTACTCTTTGTAACTCTCAAAGTATTATTATTTTTAAATCTATGAAGTTGTTTTTTCGCAACCTTTTATATATACAAAATCCAATTTGATTGGTTTGACATTAATTACCACCAAACCCCCTTAGCTAATGTCAAATTATGGAAAGACCCCCCACCCCACCCCTTTTGTTTCACCCTTTTGTTTGTATATAATTACAACTAACCCTTCAAATATGAATGACCG